GAGCGGTTGTTGCGAGATTAAGCAGGAAATTCACGGACCAAGCAATATTCTTTTTTTCTTCTCAAAGTAGCAAAAAATATATGAATAGAGTCATGTATTGAGAAAAATAATGGTTTGCGTAAAAATTAGCGGCCGCTTTCATATAAACGTCAAGTTTACTTCACAACTTATACGTGATGTAATTTTTGCTATTATATTTATATTAATCATGATAACTGAATTAAAATATTTATTGCGCGCGCACATGTTATTCATGTAATTTGTTTAATATCGATTTCATATTTTATTTGAACATTTGTTAATGTAATTTTTTATATTAGGTAAATAATTAAAATTATATCTAGGGTTAAATGTTTAATGAGTCACATATGGCAATGAGTGGCATAAATTATAATTTCTACTGAGCTGCTTTTTATCCGTCATTTTCTGTTTGTTTTTTTTTTCTATTTTTTATCGTTTATCTTATTGAACTCGCGAAAACGCAAAACTGTCACGACGAAAAAAATAATAAGCAAACTAATGGAATTCATGAGAAAACTTACGAGAAAGAAATATATTCTTGGGTTATTATTGATGGTTGAAGAATGTCTTTTATCGATATGTTTTATTGAGAAAAGAAAAAATATTTTATCTTTCAATTCATTACTGACCCCAATATTTTCGAACTGGTAACGGATATATATATATATAGTTCATTCCATAAATTTTCGAATAACCGTCAATAGCCGAAAAAACACTTTTCGGTTATTAATATATATGTATATATATAGCGTCTCTATTATTAGATTGCAATCATCACTAATAACTACTTTTATATATGTTTAAAAAACATATATATCAGAAGTTTCGAAGAGGTTAAATGCATCGTTACAAAAACTGTCAGTACCTTGTATGCGAACACAGCACATTTAATGTTACGCTTGACAGCGCGTATTTTATATTTTTTTTATAGGCAACTATATGCATATACCGAAAATGGATGCGCGTTTCTACGATATCTACATTGTCTGCGATATCTGAAATATTCCGTCGACGAGTGGATACGGACAATGTTTGCTTTTCGCTTCATATGCAGGCGTAGTATTCGTGATCTATATATATATTTAAGCGGTGTGTCTATATATATATATGATATGTAAATTCGATATTAGTAATGTATTTGTTTCAAATGCAGAGAAGCGCGAGCTTTTGCGCGAATTATTAATGCCCTACAATCTATATGGAATGTGAATTATTTAATAAATTACAGTATTTTGTCGGCGTGAAAGAAGTTTATCAGTTTACATTTTTTTTTTGCTATAATAGCTGGAAAGATGGGAAGAAATGCCGTTATCTATTTTAGAAACAGATATACTCGTATTGTTGATTAAATATTGCTTTATGGAAAGCTAACTATATATTTATTCGTTTTCTATTTCGTTAAATCTCGTTAAATATATATCGCTACGACAGTTTAATTTTCATTTAGTATTAAAATTGCAATCGTCATTATCATCCCGTTTTAGATCGAAATTAGAGCCTGTTCATATATTTCAATTTTTTAAAATCTTAATTAGCAAATTAATAAAAATATGTACGATCTAATAAAACTGACGGGCTATATAAAATATAGATATTCTTATAGTTTGAGGAATGTAGATTATTACTGTAACCGTTATTATCATGTCACTATATCTCATTACATTTTTTAAGGAAAAATGAGTAAGAAGAAAATATAGGACACGTCGCGCAAAAATACGTAAGTAAAGTAAAGTAGGTTACAATGCAATGAATTTTTATGCGTGAATATGAATTCTTCGCGGTAAACTTATAACCATTCCTGAATTTTGCAAAATCTTGTCACATATTAAAATACGTAACCGAAAAAAGTATCAATACTGAATAATAATGTCTATAATGTTCTTAAATTTATACGAATATATCATAATCATTATAAAATAACAAACATAATAAACTTGCAAACAATAGATTTCTCGATCAATTAAATAAACTTGATATGAGATATTAATCCGAATCATCGTCTGCATCTTCATCATCAGGCTTTGACAAATAAATAAAAATTTTCGTGTAATATATTTCTTCGGAATCGAAAAGTGATCGGACATTGCTGTTCACAGTGATTGCCTATATTCGCGCATTTTCTCAATCTATCGTATTCTCAATACATTCGCATACGGTGATAAATGTTTCATCGATGGGAATCAAGGCTGTTCAGACTCGCACAGCCATTTCGTCGCGATTCCCTGAGATCATATGATGCCCCGGTTTATCGGGGCTCCTTCGCGCCAACGTTTCGCCGCAGCGCCCATGTTTCATGCGATATGAATAATAATCTATGGGATGACTACATCGCTCGCATGCCTCACGCAAGCGTGAGCCAACGTAGGATTTGTAATTTATAATCGAAAAATGTAATTATTTGATAATTTATCGACAATCAAATATCTTGCAGAAATATTATATAATAATAAAAACTTTACTATTACTTTTCACAAATAATATTATAATATAAAGCTATGAATAAATATAGATGTTCGTTTATTTATAACAAAGCTTTGCACGAATTTCAATTTTTATACGCATTCAAATATCGACATTCGTGAATAAAACGTCTCTTTATAATCTTCGATATTCGCTACGAAGATAATGGTTCGTGGTGTTAAGCGCGAAATAATATATAATATACGTCCAATTACAAATTCCGTGGCAAATTGGCGAAAAAGCTCGTGTAAAGTTGGCTCTCGCTCGTTAGGCAGCGAGCGCGGCAAAAGTTACGCAAATATGTGCAGATAATGTGGGGAAAGGATGTCAAGAACCGGGATATAATTACAAGCGATAGTACGGTACTTTGCGGCTCTAAAAACCCTTTGCAATTCTGAGGCCAATACTGCGTGCCAAACGTTCCGCTCGTGAAAACGCCGGAAGCGTCTCAATTATCGCGCGATATAAAAATATTTTTGTGATTTATCGCGCAATAAATAACATATTATAGCGCGTATATACTAGCAGAACGTTCGGTGCATGTTTTATTCAACGGCCATTCTCTTGTCGATAGTCGGCAAAGGATCGGAGGAAGCACGTGAAAGTGTCAAAATCTTCAAGATATAAAAACTTTTTTATGTATTTCGTCAGATTATTATATTATCGCGCATTTTTATCGTTTCGCCCTCGTATTTATTGCATATGTATGGAAATATTTATAACAACGTCACGAAAATATTTTGCATGCATAATACATACGGGGAATATAAGATTATTGATGTAACTGCTGGAATATAACATTTTAGCATACCGTTTGCATTTTATTTATGTATTTTTTATTTATTTATGGTGAATATTTTGAAAACGGTTATGGCATTCTATAAATGTTATCATGTTTCTACTTCATATACTTTTCAAAATATATTTAACTTTGTTTAAAAATTTTTACCAGAATATCTTTACATGTACATTATATTTTAATGCTAAACTTTTTCTCTATAATGTCAGCGTTCTTGCGTGATTGATAAATGACAGAGATAAAGCAGGCGTGAAAAGCTGTTGTTGCAACATTAATTATTCGATCAAAAGTTTGATTCGAAGAATTGCCTCGAATTTTAAGATTCACGAGCTTCCTCAAAATTGCCGATCAAACTGTTTCACATTTTTCCGTAACTTTTGAAACGATGCAGCAGTGCAAGATGTACTGTTCACATCGCGAATATACCGTCCTACTTTGAAATGCAATATGCACGACGATGGTACCTCTCTTGTCGAGGTCGAGTGGACACTCGTTTGCCATTAGTTTCATTATTCATCGCAAACGGTTATATATCACACACATGACTTGTAAAATATTGAGAGTTATTCCCCAATCAAATTCAATTAACTTATATTATTTAATAGTAAAATAATATGTTAATTTGCAACAATTCAAAAATAGAGAAATATGTACGTGCTATCGAAAACCAATTGTAATTTCAACCTGATCCAAGAAAAAGAAATAAATCGATCCAAAAAATAAATAATTACAAGCGGCTATGAATCGTAATTATTTCAGTTTATCCTGAATGTGAGATAAAGCAAACGTAACGGTACGGAGAACTAAATTAAAATCATCGTGTGTCAATACCGCGGGATATATCATACCGTGCGCGATGAAAAAAGAAACACGTGCGCAATATTTCGATGCTGATTGCAATTTGCATCGGCGCATTGGCACGCAAAACCACCATGTTAAACGTGTGCTCGCTCGACACCCGGTGTGCCTCTCTCTCTTTCTCTCTCGGCAACATGCTGTACCGCTACAATATGTATATATCAGATCAATGTGTATTCATAATAATCAAAATTCGAAACAAGGCGCAGTTGATAAACTCACTTGTTGTAGAGCACTATGTCGGGCCGCCATATGTGATCAGACGGTACGTGCAACATGTGAACTCCTCCATACTCCTTCGGCTCCCATCGCAATTTGTAGTCGTACCATGACTTGAAACAGCCAATACAACAAATATAAACACATTATTGACACGCTTCTGCGTGCTATTGCATCAGGCTTTTATTATAATTATTATATATTTTTTATTGTAAGGCGACAAATATATTGTATTATATAAGTAAAATAGTATATTCATTTATAAAAATTATAACGTGCGATGTTTTTCGCAACTGTCATGTTCAACATTAATATTTGACAACAAATATTGATTAACAAAGTTTCTTGATTAATTGGCAACAATAATTCTTGTATAATTAATAATAAAAAGTAATAAATCTTTTGCGAATAAAGTTTTCTAGAGACAAATAAATAAAATTTTTCATTTAATTTCAAATTATTTTATTTACAAGTTGGTTACAAAAATATGTAACGCTGAAAATCGAAGTCATAATAAATGATAATTTCCACTAAAAGTTTTTTTCGTTGAAGATAAACAACTTTGAATTAATCAAAAGATATTTATTAAGTATTGATACAATAATTGATTGAACACTCCCTATGTATTATATAATTACATATTTATTCATACTTTCTTATATAATATTTTTGTATATAATTTAAAAACTTTTAATAAATATATTAAAGAAGTGTTTATATATTCATTAACCAACTTCACATTTAAAAATTGTTTTATTTGATTAAGATATTAATACGCGATGAACTATATGATTACTATGCGCAATGTAATATAATTTCAATAACTTCTACATCTCATGTTGTTTTTCCTACTTTTCCAGCCAGTTGTTACCCGAAAGCCCAGACGTAATTTCTTATGATTTCTGTTGTTCTATGAGACGGTAAAAGCCGCATTCCCCGACAGTTATCGTCGCGAACTAAAAATCTGAGAGACAGCAGCGCGTCGCGCACTTTTCCCAGCAAATATTTCCCGCCGACACTTTTCTTAAAAAAACTCTCTTTGTCTGCGATTTGACAAAGAATTTATTCTGTATAGCTACCGAATACTTGAACAAGATGCTCTCACACATGTTTCTTACATTCTTTGGATGTATGAAGATTTCAATAAATGTAAAGTTTTAAATACTTATAAATCTCTAGTAAGAGAGCCTTTTTCATTATAAATTACAATTGATGTTATCGCAGATATAAAGTTAAAAATTAATAATTGATTATATATCCGAATATAAAAAGGAAAAATGAGAAAAAGAAATACTCCTCTATCTTTCCTTTTTCTTTATTTCTATTAAGACATAAATTTGTTCCTGCATAAAAGAAACATTTATGTATGTCATAAACAAAATAACATATAATGAACGCAAATCCTAGAAAATCAGACCAACATTGCCTTGAAGAAAAGCAATGAATTTTCAAAGAAAAGCAAAAAAATTTACTTAATATTAGTTAAATATATATTTACACATCTAATCATTTTCTCACCCCATTCTTTCACTATTAATTTCATATACAAAAATATTTATCGTTGTATTTTTAATAAACATTATATAATTCCTTTTTTCCTAAAAACAAAATCAATTTCTTTATAATGTAACAAATGTTGATCGTCTCAAAAAAGTTTTAAAGTCTTTACAATTAGAGATTTTGTTATTAATTTCTAGAAAGAGATTATATAAAAAATAAAAAAATAATTTATATAACTCACCGGCACGAAGCGCAACAGCAGAGTTGTGGTATATAATGTTGATTCTGTAAAATACAAATATATCCAAATTATAAAGCAGTGTCCAAAATATTTTAAAATAAATATTTTTAAAAATAATTTTATTTGCGCACATTAAATATTTATATAAGTAATAATTTAATTTTTATATAAATAATTTAAATTATTATAAATCTAAAGTAAAATGTTAGAATATTTTATATATATTTCTCTTTATACATATGTAAGTATTAATTATGGTAATATATTTTATAATAAATACCTTAATATCACTTTTAAAAACAAAAGCTAGAATATTTTATTTGCATTATATTACACGAAATGATGTAAAATGAATAATAATCGCAGAAGACAACGAGCAATTAATTTTACGAATAATATCCAAAAACATAAATAACGTATTAAATCGTGCTTACATCAGGGTTGCTCCGCCGTTGCCCGATATCTCCCCGGGCCTCCTCTTCTCTTATCATTCTCGGTTGCGTTTTCATGGCACTCGCACAATATTCACTCGCCAAAACACGATTAATTACAATTAAGCGTGCATTAATCAATATGATTCGATGATCGCACGGCATTTTACGCGGCACTTTTGATGTTTATCGTACGCGGCTACAGTCTATTCGATGTTCAAAATTCACTCGCCACGATGATTCAGTTGAGACATTTGTAGCTAACAAATAAAAGTTAGAATTAAAGATAAATATCCGTAGAATGTAATATCCGAAGGTATGCCATCGCTTTTTGCCGACACATTATTGATTTCGATCGAATAAATTATATAAAACACGCGTTTTAACAAATTATTAATATATAAACGCCAAACCCCGATTTATTAAATAAAAATATTAAAATATGTCATTAATCACGTCTGTACTTTTTTAACAGCGCCCGATTTCGAAATCAATACGGTTTGTACTCGGAAAGTTTTACGAATCACACAATAATTAAAATAGTGCAATTCGAGTTAATTAAAATGCCATAAATTGTACAAAAATATAAAATAAAAATTTATCTGCTATATTATTTAGAATAAGTCTCGCCCAAAATGTTTGTTTTGATAAATAGCCGTTACTCATGAGTCGTATTTATGGTAATAATTAACCGTTGATTGATATAATTACATCGAATGATCTTGTTTAACATCTTTTAGTATTTGTCGCAATGGTAGTTCACGAAATAATACGATCAAGAGAACGACTCGCGTTACATTCCAATCTTGCCCTTCCACCTCCTTCACTCGAGTCTCGTCACGCGAATGCCAAGGCAGACAATAGTACATTAATGTTTATAGTCGGCGGCCTTGCCATTCACACGGCGAGACTCGAGTGGGGATAACGGAGAAGGGGGAAAACGTGGAATGTTATCGAGTCGTTCTGTTGACACGTTGTATTACTACTATGAACTATCATTGTGACAAGTACTAGAAGACATCAAACGCGATCGTTCCTTGCTATTAACATTTATTTCGTACGCGTTATTCATAAATGCTAATTATTTATCAAAACAGGCATTACGCGTAATTTATTTCTTTAAACTAAAAATAAATGATTTCGCGAGATAAATTTTAATTGTATTTTCGAGTTTCATAACATCTTAATTAATTTCCCTCGCGTAGTATTAATTATTAATCGCGCTAGTATTAATTGCTGATTTTATTCAGAGAACATCCAAATGTGGAACGTATTGATTTCGAAATTGTTCGGCATTATTAACGTATTTAAGTGAAAAGGCACAATTGTATCTGATTATATATTTTAATATTCATCAATTGTTTAATAAATATTCAACCTTTGTACATCGATGATTTGTTAAAACGCGTATTTCGAAAATTGTTGAATTTTTCGATCATTAATGAAAATCAGTAGATATAGAACGAATCGATTCAAGATCGAGCGCCGTAAAACGCGTTTGATTAATAAAAATAATCGTATTTAATCGTGTATTTCAATCATTATCGATCGCGTAACAAAAATTCCGGCGCTCTTGCTTTGTGACGTATGAGCGCGGTCAGTAACCTTGTCAATATTATTGTTCGCGCGACGATGCTTGGGAAGGTAATAGCTATTCCTGCGTCGTATCACTTTGCGAAATACCATCGCGACAAGTACTAGAAGACGTCAAACGAAATCATTTCTTGTAATTAACATTTCATGACTCATAAGCGTAACTCGTAAGCGACGGCTATTTATCAAAACAGCATTTTGTGCGATTTATTTCTTTAAAGTGAGCAGTATAATTAATAACTCGTATTTTTTGGCAACAAATTTCGCAATCGTAGCGAGTGATTTTTAAACGCCGAGCGAATCGTAGTACCGCGTCGTATAATGAACATCGAGAATGCCGTATAAAGTGCCGTGCGCTCATCGAATTATATTGATTAGTGCGCACGATTGCAATTAATCATCTTTTCGCGAGTGAATATTGTGTGAATACTATGAAAAAGCAACCGAAAATGACAAGAGAGGAGGAGGAGGCCCGGGGAGGCATCGGGCAACGGCGGAGCAACCGTGAGGTGAGCAAAATTTTTTATTTGTGAAATTAATTGCTCGTTCAGCTTGTGGTAGTTTTACATCAACTCGTGTATAACATGATGCATATAAAATATCCTTTTTATTTTTAAACGCTTAAAGTATTTATCACAAAATGTTTATAATAATTAATATTTTTTTTTGTAGCAATACATATAAAATATTTCACAACTTTATTTCAGATTATTAATTATTTAATTTATTTATACAAGAATTATAATTTTATTTATTATATTACTCTAAAGTTTCTATGTAAAAATAATTTCTTTCCAACATTTTCTAAAATTAAATATTTAGAAGATGTGACTGAAAAATTTAATTGCGCGCAGAAATTATTTTTTGAAATATCTATTATATTTTGGACACTGCTATATAATTTCAATATATTTGTATTTGATAGATCAAGACATTCTATGCTACAACTCCGCGGTAATACAACTCCGCGGAAAATTATCATTTTTATATAATTTCGGTATAATGTGAACCGCAAAAATTTTATACAAATTATATATATATAATATATTAGATATGCAGATACAATATTTGTA